GGGGACAGTGAGGTGCCACCCCACAAGTGCCAGTTTGGTGTAGCGTTTAAGTGTGCAGACACTAATCTAGGAGAACCGAGTTTGATTCCCCACTCTGCCACATGCAGCTGCTGGATGACCTTCGGCAAGCCATAGTTCTGTCACAGCTGTTCTCTCAAGGACAGTTCTGGAAAGAGCTCTCTCAGCCCCACCTACCTCACAGAATGTCTGTTGTGGGGAGGGGGAGGGAAAAATTTTTGTAAGCCACTCTGAGACTCTGAGTGAAGGGGGGTATAAATCCAATCTCCTCCTTCTCCTTCCTATCATACAAATGGGCTTGCCTAGTGGCTGGCACCACAAAACTGGGCCACAGTCTTTTTAAAATAAAGGCTGCTGGAGGAGGGAAGCTTAAGAAATAGTAGAAAAGGGTAGGCTGTCTGTTGGGTAGGAAGGAGATAGGGTTGCCAAGAAATTCCTAGACATTTGTGGGTGAAGGCTGAGGAGGGTGGGGTTTGCAGAGGGAACTCAGGGGGGTATAATGCCATAAACTCTCCACCCTCCACAGCAGCTACTTTCTCCATGGGAACTAGATCTCCATAGGAACCAGCTGGAGATCACTTGGAATTACAACTGCCTCCAGATAACAGAGATCAGTTCCCCTGGAGAAAATGGCTGCTTTGTAAGGTGGAATCTATGGCATTGTATCTTCTGAAGATGCTTCCATCTGAAGGTGCTTCCATCCCTAAACCTCACCCTTGCAAGGCTCCACCCCCAAATCTTTAGGAAGTTCCCAATCTGGAGCTAGGATTCCTAAGGGTGGACTGATCTCTGTAGTTGGAAAGCCCGTTGTGATTCTAGGAGATCTCCCGGCCCTGCCTGAAGGATGGCAACCATAAAGGAGAGAAGAAAGCAGGAAAAGGAGAGGGGCTGTGGGGCTTTCAAGTAAGCGAAAGAGGAAATAGTGGGGGAGGGGTAATGAGATGCCTCCGTCAAGTCCTTGCGACTTCCCTCTTGTGTATACACACACAAATGATGTTTAATTACATATCTTTCTCTGAAAAAAACAGGTCAATACTCAGAAATCTTATCTCCATATCCAGTTTCTACCTGCTGAAGACATGAACAAGCAAGCATCTTGTCTTGGCACAGAAAAGACAAGTCTGGGCATTGTCAAAAATGCATCTCCCCTAAATCTGGGAGTATTTCAGCTTCACACAGTATGCTGGTGAGAGCCAGCTGGAGCTCCACAGCAGCAAATGGGCTTAGAAGGGGATATCTCTGCTTAGGATGTCACTACTACAGCCACAATAAAATGTCAGAGAAACATCCCACTGAATTAAAAGAAATTAACTTCCATATACTAGTTGTTAGGATGATAGCTTTTTAAAAAGTAATTGCATAGTATGCTATGCATACTTGTCTTGGAATAAGTCTCACTGAATAATGTGAGATTTACTTGTTCATAAATATGTAAAGGGTTGTGCTGGTAATAGTGTAGTGATAATACTGTAATATTGCATGGATAATATTGTAAATATTGTCCTACACAACATATTTAAAATCAAATTAGTTTCCCCCCAGAACAAGAGCTATCTGAAGGTCATTTTGCTTCAAAGAACAATTAATCTTAACCTCTATGCAATTTTCCAAAGTGGCTACTTTCATTTTAACCAGAGGTACAGGTAACATAAATGGCAGGTGACCACAAAAGGACAAGGAATTACTAAAGACGTGATGTTCTAGCTGTGTTTATTTTGTTAATGAAAATAAATCAAAGCTACACAAACTTTAGAAGACAAGCAAAGCATTTAAGGTTTTTTCTCTCTCCAAAAGGTTAAAAAATGTTTAGCCTGCAATAATGAATAGGAAAGGAAGTTCTCACCCTTGTAACCAGCAGCATTGGTTTTCCAGTCATTAGCAATCAGATGTCCTGCCCGTGAAGTCCTTACAATGATATGCTGTACATCTCTCCATGTCAGTAATCGACTAGGCAAAGACAGTGAAAAACAGTTATGGAGTCATTTTACCAAAAGGAACAGGGGGACAAGCAAATCTCAAAGCAAAGAGGGGAAAGACTTCCCAAAGTATTCAAAACAAAAGGGCATAGTTGGTTAATATGTTTCAGTCTCACATGTGCAAGACAGAGAATACTTTAACAGGCAGGAAGTGCTTCATATTCAAAGCATTCAGCATGGCTCTTTTAGGTAGCTAAAAAGTCATTTTTATTATCTAGAGATAAATTATATACATACACACATTTCTACAGATACGTTTTTTCACCAATACATGTTTGCTCACATTGGGGTAGATTCAGCAATTAGTCAGCAGAAGACACTGATGGTTGCAGATCTTCCCCATATTTCCCAAGAATCAACTTTCCTGGGGTCAGAAAGGGCTGCTAATCAAAGAGTAGGCCTTTCTGACCCCAGGAAAGTTGCTCCTTGGAGTCCCAGAACCCTCCCATGCTATCAAGAGGCTGCCATGGGAAGGAGGAAGAGGATAAAGTCGCCCTTCGTGCCTCTTCTATCAGTGCAGTTCTGCTGATGGAACAGGCAAAGAGGTGTTATTTTATTCCATTCCTTCTTCCCACTATAGCCCCCTGACTGACATGACTATTAGACCCCGCAGGTCCTGCAACCCTGGCAATCAGCTTTCCTCAAGCTGGAAAGTACTTTTGGAGGGAGGGAAACGAAGGAAAGGTCTGTGATTCTCATGTCCATGGATCACTGGATCCAACCTACCAAGTAGACACGGTACATAGCCCAGTGGAGTTAATTGCAAGATCACTGCACATTTTGATAGATCTAAATTGTTTTCAACCCCTGGCACTCACCAGCTGCACAGAGGGCACTGCTCTCTCTCTAAAGAACAGAAGCTGTCAATGCTAGCACATTTCTGGTGGAGCTGCCTCTGTGGCCCGCCAACTCTTACCTGTGTCCCCCTTTTGTCTGTAGGACAACATCTTCACAGATTTCATTTGGCACTTGGGCCACAAAGGTAGCCTAGCCCTGATCTAGATAGCCTCCATGAATAATTGAGCCGCAACCCTACTTTCTTTTGATAACATAAAACTCTCAAAATATATAATAGAAGCCAAAACAAATCTAATTTATATTCCCAACAAAATAATGGAGTTTTTTCATTAAAGATAGCAACTGTGGCTGAAAACTTGAAAACAGCTCCGTAATTGATGGACTTATTTTTTTAAGTCAGTAAACTGAAGCAACCACTATTAGTTTTGAATTATAGTTATTGCTCCTTTTTCTGTTCTGAGTCTGCCAATCCATCTGAATTGGCCATCAGCATAGTTTATGTCTAGGTTGTAGATGTCTGCCATGTTAGCATGTCAACATGTCAATTGCTCATAAAACCACTAGAAGAAAAGCCAGTTTCTGGAAGCACCTTAAGTCCCAACAGAGGTAAAAAATTCATAAATGGTATTACGCAAATCAAGACAAGGATTTCATCCATAGAGATAATTCAAAAAATTCTTGTCTGAATCTCCTTTTTGAACTTACTTCTTATGTTCCTCCATCGAAAGAACTAGCAGGCATTACTGAGAATAATGCAGCTTTCTGATTCTTTTAAAATTGTTTTTCTTGAAAATGCTGTCTTTTTCACAATTTCTCATCTGTTTCTAATGATGAGACTATTTATAATTTAGTGTGGGGAAGAGAGTAAAAAAATTAACCACAGATGATTCAGTTAATTTTTGTTTTCATAAAGATGAAAATCAGACAAAAAAATAATGTAGGGAACAATAGCTTAAATATGTATCACCTACCAAACTTCTGTCTGGCTATTACTATGTGCAAATGCTTTCATATTTCCACAAATGACGATACATATAAAAGCTGTTTGGAAACATCCATGTGAAGGACTGAAAACCTGTATTAAAAGTGAACAATTCTATGAATATTCTGGGCAGACACAGAACTTTATGTGTCTGGTTTTCAGTATGCAAAGTAATAGTTGTAATTATCCAAATCCATATTAGTGTGTTGCAGGCAATCTTGTCTGATGGAGAGTTTAGCTTTTCAAAATGTTTGCTTTGAACATGTTTTCTATAAGTAAAAGTAAGCACTGTAAATTGTTTATTTGCTGATAAAGATTAACAATGCAATCCTATGCAGTTACTCCAATCTAAATCAATTGAATTCAGTGGGTTTAGGCAGGTGTATCTCTGTATAAAATTACATTGTTAATCTGTGAGATCTTCTACACCCAACTCAGTCTGAAGTTCTGTTCTGTTCCTGCTGAGCTAGGTATGCATACAATTAAGATTATATATTTCAAATTAAGAAAACTATAATTCTATGGGGGAAGAAATATACACGAAAAAAATCATGCAAACCTTTTATATCAAATGTGTGCTTCAGTTTCATTAGGCAACTAGTGACAGCATGTGGTCCACCATGATTTAATTAAAGACCAATATTCTTCTAACACCATGAGTGCCCTTTGCACCCCATCATATCAGTTCAGTATCAGGTTGGAACTCAATACCCCAGTACTACATGTTGAGTTGTTCTTGGCTAGTGGGAAGTCTTTTTTGGCCAGTAAGCAAATGAGGAAATACAATAAAAAGGAATAGTTTAGAGGTGATTTCTCCTGCAATGCTAAAAATGCCTTTGATTATCCAACATATATAATTTTGCATATTTAATGTCTCATGTTAACACATGCTTTGCTTCAGTTCTGTTTTTTAGACTTCTGGTTGGTTCTACAGCCCAAATACTATTTCATTGTTTATTGAATGTCCCATCCTGTTGATTGCATTGATCCACTCTGTGTAATCTGCCTTGAGTCCCAGAGAGAATGGTAGACTATAAATAAAGTGAATATTTTTAAAAAATAAGTAACTAATAAAATACAATGTTCAAAAACTGTGCTTCTGATGTTATATCTACACATTTTCTGGCCTTTGGAAAACAGACATAGGGACTGAGCTAAAATTCTAATCTGATACACAGAATTGTGTACTGAATATATATAAAAATATTATTTTCTGTTACTTGGCCTGCAAGAGAGATATATAGTGTCTTTCCTGATTTGCTTGGAAATGTTATGGGACTTAAAGGAGGGACTAAAGCATAAAAAGGTAGCTATGAGAATGTTGACATCAACTGTTGTTCTGATATTAGTATTCAAGGGACAATCTCCCTTATATATAAAAGTTGAATGGTGGTGGCACTTCTCTAGAACATTCCACATCCTCCGGAATTGGTTGGCGCCAGGGGTCATTTGGGGGGGGACGCGGGGGACGCCATCCCCCCAGGTGAGGTGCGGGAGGGCGGGGCCTGGAGCTCCCTGCTGGTGCCCGCTGGAGGTCGCCGCCGGCTGTGGGGAGGACACACTTCCGGTGATGTCAGGGTGCGTGGCATATGCTAATGAGTTATGCTAATGAGTCCCCCTAGCTCTTTTTCTACGAAATGACCCCTGGTTGGCGCCCTGGTGTGTCACTCAGAATCTGTCCCTATCCACTGGCTGCATTGCTTGAGTCTCGCCTCCAACATTCTAAAAAGTTTGCTGTTCCTCTCCCCCCATAGCCAGTCAGAACACGGAGGTTATTTGCATATGCAGCCTCATTGGCCTTTGCCTCAGAACACAGAGGTCATTTGCATATGCGACTTGATTGGCTTTTGCCTCTAACAATCTAAACAGTTTGCTGTTCTGAGGTAAAATGTGTCCAATCTCCAGGTGAGGGCTGGAGATCACTCAGAATTACAACTGCTTTCCAGATATGGCAGAGATCAGTTCCCCTGGAGAAAATGGTGGGCTCTGTATCCTTATATGCTGCTGAGGTGACCCCCATATGACAGCCAATGTGACATAGCAGTCAGGGCTTCAGAGCATGGGAGAGGCTGCAGGTGTGTGGGGGGTGGAAAGCTGAAGAGTGAGGGGGAAATAAAGGTAGGTTGATGATTGGCTGGGGAGGAGATAGGGTTGCCAACTCCAGGTGGGAAATTCCTGGAGATGTAAGGGATGAAGCCTGGAGAAGGTGGGACCTCGGACAGGTACAAAGCCATAGACTCCACCCTCCAAACTAACCATTCCCTTCTGGGGAACCATCGTTGCAAATACCCAGGTGAGGGCTGGAGATCACTCAAAATTACAACTGTTCTTTAGGTAGCAGAGATTTATTTATTTTTATTTTGTTATTTATTTAAATTTATAACACGCCCTCCCCGCAAACGGGCTCAGATCAGTTCCTCTAGAGAAAATGGTGAACTCAGTGTCATACCCTGCTGAGGTCACCACAGCAAATTGACACTGAGTGTCCAAGACCGTGGCACCCGCCCAGAGCCTCTTTCTAGAGCTCATTGTATTTATTTCCACAATGGGCCTTTTTCCTAGTTACAATATATTTTGCCTTTTCTTCCCTCCTCTGAAAGCAGGTCAACCTGGCATGTAGACTTGAAGTCTAGAATGATGTCCTGAATAACATGTACTATATTCATTCTGATATTATAATGTTCAAGAAATATATGTCAAAAGGGAGAGTAAAATCAAAGGCCTCTTTCAGGGCAAAAATATAGATACCTATTTAAATATAAAACCATTTTCTTTCTTTACATTTACATGTAATTAGAGTGAGCTGGATCCAGTGACTTCCTTCTTCTTTGAGGTACCTTGCTCCAGAGTGCGTTCCAGTCTTGTTCCAACAGAGGAGTACTTCCCACTAGGACAAAATTACTTCCACTGAATTAAGAATCCTTTGCTGAAGAAAGTGTTTGAATTGGATTGGATCTAAATTGTAAATGGAAGTCTATTAGTGGAATGAGTTATTCCTGCTTTTTTCTGTTCTGGCACAGTAATCCATAGTTCTGGCACAGCTGTTTTTGAAAAAGAGCAGTTTCTGTCAGAGCTCTCTCAGCCCCACCTACCTCACAGGGTGTCTGTTGTGGGGAGGGGAAGGGAAAGGAGTTTGTAAGCCGCTCTGAGACTCCTTTGAGTAATGAACGGTGGGGTATAAATCCAATCTC